GCATCCTTACTGCTAGAACATCACTCTGTCGATCTTATTATAATTTTTATATTTCTGCCTCTGATATGTATCTTTTCAGACTGGCCCAGATGAAAAAAGATGTCTCATTTGTAACCCCTCGTATGTTCTTAAACCTGTCCCTGGGTGTTTATCATTCAGTTCACCAGAAACGCCTGTGATCGGAAATGTTGCTGTTAACCTGACAGCAAAAAAGCATGGCAGCTTCGCAGGAAGTACTTTGAGAGGGGTTTTACATGTGTTGAGTTGCGTGTATCTGGATTCAGATGTCCAGCCTGCGTCAACCTCTCACCTTGCAGCGTTCTGCTCTTGAGAAAGGGATTCAACTTCTCCGTCTGTCGTCTTGTACGCACCTTTTTGCGGTTTCTTTGCGTGGCTCGAGCGTTGGCGGACTAACCTCAACCCTGGAAGATCACAAGCTTGTAGAATTGAGCATTCGCTCAGGACGTTCATCGCTGTGACTTTCACGAGATGTTTGCTTCACACACGTTCCTGTAGCTGGGGTGTCAGGCTGTGGCTTTCCCCTTAAAGGGCAGGACTGCAGTGCGGGAGGGCTGATAAGCAGGGACCAGCCTGCGTGGTACTCTACAGAATGTCATAATACTGCACTGTCATTAGGATGCGTTACAACAGCCCTCAAAACTATTGCCATTAATGATGACTCTGGACTAACGTTTCACTTCACTAAACGCCCAGGCCTGTGAAACAGGGTTTCTGAGCTGGGCCTCTTGAGAAATTGTGTTCAGCATCTGGGTTAAAACTACTGGTTTAAGCCTCTGAAAATATGGCGTGCTGTGGAGTAGCTACTTGGCAAAACACCGAGTCCCGTCAGTAGGCATGTCCACTGTACACCACACATTACAACCTGAGATTTTCTCAATGTGAGTATCGTCACCCTGAGACATTCATGGTCACAGTTTAGAAACAATTTCCTACAGAGCCCTTCTCTGCTCTGCTTAAGCTCTTTTCTTAATGCACGTCTAATTAATTGCCAGGTTAAATTAATTACATATTATTCCTACAGTATTCCTTATTGCAGTCGTTGATGTGCCAAATGATAGTATATTTTTAAATGACTGCATGCAGAACAATATACAGCATTCTCCTATGTTTCTGAAATGTTTTACCTGTTATGCATAACCCCAAACACATCTTGTGCGTTGTTTAAAAACTGAGCTTCAGCATCCGCACTCGTTTCTTGTGGCCAAGCGGTGAAAATTCCTCTTCAGGCAATTTAAGGCCCGGCTGAGACGCGACTCCCGCTGGCTGCGCTTGCGCCTGCCCGTGCGGAGAGCTCCCCCTGCTGTCCGTTAGTGGCACTGCACTGCTCTCCCCGCAGTCCTGCTGAAGCTGGGCGACAAGAAGGCCGCCTCGGTGGGCATGGCCCTGTCCACCATCCTGAACCAGCTGTCCCGGCTGCCCGTGCCGTACACCCGGGAGCAGGAGGAGGACGACGCCCACGGGCTCTGCCGCTGCTGCACGGCGCTGCCGGGCTTCGTGGGGCCACTGGTGGAGGAGGCGAAGCAGACCCGGCCGGGGGGCCGGGGGGCCGAGCTCAGGACCGAGCTGCTCAAGTTGTGGGTGTCCCTCGCGCGCCGCCGGGCCGGGCGACTCACCAGCCGCACGCGCGGGAAGCATCGCCGGAAGGAACCAGTCAAGGTTTGTTCCCGGCGGGGAAGAGTAGAGAAGATCAGAAACGCAACGTTTCGGCCGCGGAGCCTTCTTCGGGACGTTGTGTTTCTCCTCTGCTCTTCCCCGCTGGGAATAAACCTTGACTGGTTCCTTGGCAGCCGGCGCCCGCTGACGCAGCTCCTGCTCGAAGAGCTAGCGGCGCAGAAGGCCGTGTGTACAGTAGGAAGTGCACCTGCAGTCCAGGGCAGTGCGTCAGCTGTGAAGAGAAAAGTAATACTTGACTTCAAGCTGTCTCCAGTTAAGGAAGCCACTATCTTAAATAACTAAGGAGACGATTTGAAAAGTAAAAGGCACAGCCTTTTCCAGGAGAAGTGTGAGTGGTGGAAACTTTGTTTTTGAACGATTTATTCATTTCGTTGGCTATACTTTGTTAAAGTGCTCCTGAAAATGCATCTGCTGCGGCAGTGTCTGTGAGCTGCAGTCGTGTCGATTGGGCTTTATCTAAATCCCTGTAGATACTACATTACAGTCTGGGATTGTTCTCTAACTTGGGATCAGCTGTTGGCAAACACAGCTTAAACGAAAGGAAGTCGTTAATGCCCTTTTTGATTTGGACCCAAGTAATATTTTGATGTATTTGTTTTTTAAAATATTTTCTTTAAATGAATCACTCCTGATAAAAATTAAAATAGTGTCAACGTTACCCACGGCTGTTCTTCTCCCATGAGGAAGACATTAGCCCCCAGGGCCTGTCCAGATGTGCGCTCCAGCTGTCTGTGTCCACAGCTGTATGAAGAGCCTGAGAGAGCCCCTCCTGCAGGCCCAGCTCGGCGACGACCCGGACTCTCCTGCCGACTCTCCCCTGAGACGCTTCGCCTCCCAGATCCTGGTGAGGACCGGCCAGCAGGCCCGGAGCTCTTGGGAGCCCCCTCACCTCCTCCTTCATTTTAATTACGGAGTCTTGTGGGATCCAGGTTTCCGTAAGGAAGGGTTGTTCGTGTTCCCCGCCGGCACCGCTCCAGACGTGCCTTCAGGAGGCTTTTCCCTGTACGCCAGGCCACGCTGCTGAGCCTGGGGGAGTCCCTGCCCCACCTGCTGTTTCACCACGTCCTGAAGAAGAAGGAAGAGACGGGATTCTTGGAGGAGGATGCCAGGTACTCCAGAGAGTCCCTGGCGTGCCTGGCCTACCTGCTCTTCGTGCAGCGCGCCGCCATCGACCGCTTCCCCGCCGTCTTCAGGTGAGGGCCGCAGCCCCCCCGCGGGCGCCCGGGGCTTTGCCAAAAAACGAGAGTTTCGGTGGGTTCTCCCCAAGCCGTGGTTGTTTGCTGGCCTTGGCATTCTTTCATCTTTGCTTATAGAAGGATCACGCGTCGCTGTTGTATCTGAAAGCTTGCTTTTTCCCCGGGGGGGTCCAGTAACAGTAAAGATTTGGGGGGCAGTAGATGCAGGTGCAGTTAGCAGCCCTACGAGTCAGTCTGCGAGCGTATGCCTCTTTCGAATAAATATGTACCATGCGTATGCCAACGTTGAAATGATTATAGATTTCTAGAAGCACAGGTTGAAAAGAGTCCCGAATCCTGTTTTTAAGAAGACTGAAGATCGTTCGACAGAAACACTTACCTGTTGCCAGCTGTCACTGAACCAGTGTGTGCTAAGATGGCTGTTTTTCACCTTTCAGCCCTGTGTTTGTCCTGCGTTGCAATATGCAGTATGTTGACATCTTGCTGAGCAGGTAGGAGACGTTTTCTTCTGTTTTTTACAGAATACTGATTTAATTTAGACGCACCAAAGAATTGTAACGCTTACGGCCGACAGGCACTGTGTGAGAGCCGGCGTACCAGAGCGGGTGACGTCACCGCCCTTCCCTGTGATAGCAGGACCACAGCTACTGGGCTGTGGAGGGATCTCTCTTTGGCTCACCGGGCTGGGACCCTGCTGAGTGACACGGGAGTCCCGGGTTCGAGCCCCCGACGGTGCGGGGCCGACCTAATGCGGCAAGGGTGCCCGCCTGAACCCCGTTGCGTTACAGTATTCTTCACTGGAAACTGTCTTGTACATTAAAACTTGATGAATCGAGTTTTTAATTTGTAATTTGTGCTATTGATTGTATAGAAGGGAAATACTTGAATGCTTAGCCAGTCCAAATGCATCAACAAGTTGCTTCTCTGAGATTTGATTCGTTCTACTAATTCCTGTCTTTTGCCATTTGTGATCGTTTTTGAGGATTGAAAACCATATCCCATGTTTACCTTTGACAGGACAGAAGAGTCCCGGGTATCCAAGGGGCTGGTAAGTTGGAAAATCATTAGGAAATCTGGATCCCGTCATTCATTAACTCTGCAGTAACGAGCTTTGCAAAACCCTCCTCCATCCTGGGCTACATTCGTCCTCAGGCCTGCAATTTGTTTTTGAAGTTAAAACACCTGGAGTCACCTTGGCCAAAGAGGCCTTTGTCCCGGAGTTTCAGTTCAGCGCTCGGCTTGAGGCTGTGGCTTCCTCTCCTCGGGGGAGATCTGTACGACTGCCACATGCTGGAGTCTGTTTGATTTTTCATCTGTAGGACCTGTACGAGCAGAGCCTGGTGAGGACGGAAGACGGCAGTCTCCCGGTGGAGCTGTTGGAGTTGAGGGTGTTCCTCAGCGTGCCGCAGGTGGGTGTGTGTGTGTTTGTGTTCGTGTTCGTGTCCACGCGCACAGAGAACACCCCTCCCAGGGACCACATGGACAGAGCGCCAGGCTGAGCAATGGGCGACATGCCACTCTCCCTCTGGACACCCTGTCTGAGCCCCAGACTGGTAATCACGCCTTAAAATAATGACTGGGAAAGCTGTAAATTCCACCTGAAGGAAACCTAATCCATACCCTTTATATAAGTGCGCCAGGAGGAGTTTTGTCTTGTACCAACTGCTTAGTTCCAGTCATCTTTTAGCAGACGCTCACTCCCCTTTTAACACTTGCAGTACTTTTCACTGGCTTTAAGAACTGTACCGTTAGATCTACCAGGTTATTTCACACTGCTCTACACAAGCTCACAATTATAATCAACAGAACACTTTTTACTGTCTCAGAACAATGTCTTTGAATAGATGTTTGTGCTGTAACCACTGCGTGTTATTTCAGAATCTGGTGAAAGTCATGACCCTATGCCCGATTCCACACTTGGTAAGTGGGCCCTTTTGATATAAGACAGGTCAATTGCACGCCAGTGTGTTCAGGCTCCCTGGTAGTGTTCAGTCTTTTCTCTTCTGTTTCAGAGAACAAAGGGGCTTGCAGTGTTTCAGCTCAGTATAGACAAACTCGACATGGAGGCGAAATACAAATTCTTCAGGTGAGGCTTTCTGCACCCTTGCGGTTGTAGCACCGAAAGCCAGCTAATTAACACTGACGCTGAAGTTCGTAGCGTTTGCTCGGGTGTTTTTTTTTCTGTATTAAAAAGTATAACAGACAAACTGCTGCCCCTAAAGATCAGTGGTGTTTTGTGACGGTGACCTACATTCACTTGAATTCACAAAGGGTTGTGGGAGTGTGGAACTAGCTGTCCCTCCATGAGGCTGAAGCAGATGCCTCTGGTTTCCGTCAAGAAACCTCTGGATGAGATCCTGGGATCAGTTAGCTGTCCAGGGGGCTAGAAGGGCCAAATTGCCTCTTCTTGTTTGTAACCTTTCTTAAGTTTTTATGTCCTGTTCAATTTACCAGAGGACTGCAGTGTTTTCAGTCAAGGACCTTAACAGTGGAGGGAGTATATCTGACATTTCGCTGTAAATCTTGGAAGAGATCTTTATACCATTACAGAAAAGTAATTGGGGGGGAAAGAACAGAACACAGGATGATACCTGGTAAATAAAATAAAAATATATGCGTTATGTTGTGAAAGTGAACAGAACATTTCTCGTCCTTAAGGTGCCTGCTGAAGACCAGTCACCATGCTGGAGTAGAAGGCTACATTATTAAGAACATTAAAAATCAGATTGACTTTGCTCTCAAGGTAGGACACAATTTGGTATCTGAACATCAAGAGCTTTTGCATACTGAAGAGATCCACATTGATCATAATTAAGAGCATGCTGTACTTATGCCTTTTGCTCTTAGTAATTGGGTCGGGCTTCTTCCTAACAAAGAATACAGCTGGAACTGTGCACAAGAGTTAAAACCTAAAATTGCAATACTGCTGCACATTGTGAGCTATTTTCTCCCATTTTAGAAAGTGAGGTCCAGAGCTTGAAATCAGTGCTTTCGGTTCACAAGTAGGGCAGAAAAGAATCTAATGCCAGTGAGTGTACAGGCTTAGACAATAGCTCTCTGACCTACTCCCCTCTCTCAGCCAGGTAACGGCAGCGTGTGGTTCTCCGGAGCACAGCTGCTTCCTCTGCTGCGTTCAGTCCTGACGCTGCCCGAAGGACCAGAAACAGACCTGCTTCAGAACCTAGACAGGTAAGGCTTGCTGCCTGCTGCTGAATAATGCATGCTGTCATTAAGCGATGAGTCCTGCACAAAGCAATTAGACTGCTGCAGCCTGGCTTCCACCAGCCGGCATGCGAGTGCGCACGGGTCTTTCAAAGGCTCGGTCACGCCAGAGTGATTTATTAAAGCCTTTGAAGTAGAGCAGATTCTGTAAGCAGGTGAGCAGTTCCAGATTTAATAGATCAATGTCTGCAGCATTTATTGTTTTTAAATAGAATTCTGTTGTGCTTCTATTTCAGCTGGGAATAACAATTTTATTTCCTTCCCTTACATTACAGACAGAAGTCATGTTCCATTACATGGGATCTAGTGCACACAGCTTAGTGAATAGTTTAGGAGGTATCCGGACTGCACTGTAATTGGAGTAGCAGATTTCACATGATAAGGCCCTCATTTAGTCAGTTTAGCACACAAGACAGTTATTCAGGTTTAATGAAGACCTCTGGAGTGTACAGGGACAGATCTTGAGCCTATACGTCATGTTAAGATGTCATTAGCTAGGATATAAATAGAAAGGTTTGTATTCTTCATCTGCTCAATGAAATCAAGACTAGAAACATACATTTTTAATATTAATTGTGCCAAATTATTATTGTAAATAATAATGTAAATGTAAATATGTAATAACAATAGTAATGTAAATGCAATAGTTTCCTTTATTTCAGTGAGAAGGATGACTTTTTGATGCTTTCTTTCTTCTAGAGTAATGGAGTCTCTGAATCTTCTGAGATATTTATTGATCAGAGATAAGGAGTGGGACAATCAGGCAAGTTCTTCTTTTTGCCATTTTACCAATAAAGATTGATTTTAAAGTTTGTTTTATTAGTGCCACCTGGAAACGCATAGGTTATTGTATTTCTTTAGTTATGTTTTAGTTATGTTTAAAACCTCCATATTTTATTTTAAAATATTTTATGCAGTATAACCAAGCTTTTCAACATTCATAACAGATGTCTGAAGTCAGAAATAAAACACAGCCTGAAATACCAATGAGAAAACACATAATGGGCTGTCAGAACGAATACAAATGTGAGCTTTGCTTGATTTTCAGACTGGGATTTGGACAGAGCTCTACAAGATCGAAGAAAACTACCTCAAGCCTTTACGCACTGGGCTAAACATGTCCAAAGCTCACTATGAAGCTGAGCTTAAAAGCACAAAAGAGATCAAAAAGTTAAAAGGTCAGAATCTTTTTAATTACGCATATACTGATAACCATCCTTTTAGCTTTTGATTCTGTAGCAAGTTTATATTTGAGCCAGGCGTTAATGTTTTTGTTGGGCGGGTGGGTGCAGCTGGGAAAAGCGATGTTACTATACTCCCCTGAATAAAACCCTCATTTGGAGGCATGCAAACTGTGAAAACAGAACAGAGTTCGAAAGGTGGACTCCTGCAAGGCAGAGCCTTTATGTCAATTTCACAAGCGTCAAACTGTGCTTCTTTATGAAATCAAAACAAACCCAGCCTACTGCATATTGAGACTTCTGGCTGCTCTTGTTCTACATGGTATCTTTTCCCTTTACAGGACAAAAAGAAAGTCGGCCTGTTTGCACGGTTACAGTAGGCAATGAAAAGTTGCCCAACATGACTCCCGAGATGCAGGTTCAGGTATGTTATTACCGGCGAAACATTTTAGAATTGTTTGTGTCAGTGTGACTGCTCCGGAGGAGGACAGGAGGACATGGAAAGACTGGAAATAGATTGCTTAAAGCCTGATACTGCTGAGCTTTGTCTTCAATAACTATAATGCATTTTGACATTTTAGGTTCTGCACTCGGCCTTGTTCACGTTTGATTTAATGGAGAGCGTCCTGACCAGAATCGAGGAGATCATCGAGGTGAAAGTAAAACCTTAGCCAGCAGGAAAACTGGGTCAGTCAGCACATTACTGGCACTGCCTCTGTGGTCAGCTTGTTTTAGCTTCACCCTCAAGAAGAGTTTTGTATAAATGAATGTTTCATACTGTTGTCCTTTATTGAAAGAGAAGCAAATTAAAAGAACAACTCTCACAGACTGTTGGTTAAATTAACTTTTAAGGGAATCTTGGCTTTTAAATGCTGCTTCTAAGCAGACTTTAGGTCACAATTTTCAAAACAGTTCTGAAAAAAATATTTCATACAGCATTATATTTTATGTAAAACGCTTTAGTCTTTATAACAAAACCTGTGTTTAAATTCTAGAAGCAAATCCTTTCTTGCTGTGTGACAATCAGAAATTAAAACTAGTCTTAACCTACTGCAGTAACACAATTCTTTTTGAAGAATTTGGTGCATATCCACCTGTGCCGCTTTACAGAGGGAATGTCTTTTACAACGGGCATTTTCGTCACACAGTTACGGAACACAGCCCGTAAGGAGGAACACCTAGAGAGCTTCATTCTTTCCCAAACTGCAGCCTGGAGAGCACGTCCCACACAGGGCTCCTCTCGATGATCTGAGCCCGTGCCAATGCCATCCGATCCCGCACACTGTCCACGTGAGGCTTACTTGTCGCCTGGAAGACAACCGCATTGAAGGCCTCAGACAGAACCGGACACATAGAACTGCTAATACAAATCCACATGCATCATCTGTCATTTCTAGAATACACCGTTTTCAACAAGAGTCTGTGTTTGCAAATACCTTGTAGTGATAATATTAAATATTAAATATTTTTACTCGTCATTAGATAACTGTATGTTAAGCTTCTTTAAATAAAAGCATTTGTAAGTGGCTCAGTCCAATGAAAACAGTGTGGCTGGGACATCAGACAATTCCTGTCTCTTTTAACAGATTAAATTAAAAATATAATTCTCAGGTATTAATATTCACAGCTGAGCACAGCTAAGACTGTATCTGCTCCAGTAATTGTATATTTCTATAAAGAGATGTTATTTTTATGAATCTACAACTGAAGGAACAACTTCTGGATACATTGCTCTGCTTGCTAATTCGCAATCTCATTTGTATCAGTAAACCCGAAGTCAAGGGAAGGTGTAAGATCAGCATTTTCTCACCTTTGCGATAGTAAGCATGCTCTTCACCATCTCTGCAACGTTGTGCACAGGTATAATGCGAAGTTTGCTGCCCAGGAAACTAAATAAAATACAAGGAGTTTCTTGGGGATTTGGCACTATGTTTCATGCTAAATAACAGACAATATAATCCTTTTTTTTTTAAAAAAAAAAGTTGATATTCTGTTTTAGAATTACAAAATACTGTGCCGGCTCTTTGCCACTTTGAAATACAGGAATGTGGATGAACCACATTCCTGCTTTTTAATTATTCCACTTTTAGTGGAAAAGAGGCTTACAGTATTATTAGCTTATTTAGTTTGACCGTTAGGAAATCCAGGAGGCATTAGATTCCTGTGCACTGTAAACCTCCAGAGATCTTCAAAAGCACAGGCTGCATGAGGAACCCAGCTTGTGGCTCTCCCTGGCACCTTTCATACGGCAGGGTCACTCACCTCTGCTGAATGCGGAACAGGATCTCCTGCTCCCTTTGTGCATGCAATGACGACGAGAAGAGCAGGAAGCTGTTTCGGTGAACCTGTATAAACTTCCCAATCTTCTCAAAAAGCCTCGATACTCCCGGGCTGTCTGCGCACTCCTGTGTGTCCACGATCATGAAAGCAATACCTGTGTTAATAAAGATGAATGAAAATCAGTCTCATGAGACTGCTACACCAAACAAACAAAAAAACATTCATCTTGCTTTCAATAAAGTTCAAAGACTCAGATTTCCTAAGCTCTTATTCTGGAAACTGATGAAGCCTCTTAATGACTGTAGGCCAACAGTAAACCTCCTTAATATCTTTTGAAACAGCAGGCTAAGTATTAAAATATTATGGAATTTCTGAAACGGGTTATAACATTGTCTTTAAAGTTTTTTCAAGGGTAAACTTAACAGCCTGTCAAAAACTGTCCATTTGGTGACTTTGTAAGAGACATTGCAAATGTGTCCTTCGTGTGGCTTTGTGTTCACATGGTTTTGGCACGGGGATCTATTGCGTTTGCAAATTCTGATCGCTCGTCTTGTGGCCGAGTCTAATGCGGACTGGTGCACTCGTCGGAGCGAATACGCCGAGCCCGCCGTGTCACAAACGAGCTCATTAACCCCCACAGCAGTGGAACCGGAAAGCTGAGAACGCAGACGAGCGATGCATGAAGCTGCCTCTCCTATGCGACAGCTGTGCGGCAGGGCGCGCTTGCTTCTGCAACGTGATACGAAGGCTTTAATCACTTCCCTGAAGTGAACCCGAAACCCACCGATTACTGAATTTACCCCCCGGGACCAGAGAGAGAGGATCCTACAGACGGCTCAGACGACAGACCGGGTCCCTCAGACTCAGTGCGCACCTCTCCCGCGGCTGCCTGGTGCTCCCTGGAACCAAACCGAGCTGAACTGGACCGCTCGGAGGTACTGGACAGGAGGCTGGACCAGTTCGTCCAGCCCGCCTGGGTAGGACCCCCCCCACACACACACACACACAAAACCTGTACTTCAGATCCTCGTTGGTCAATTTCTACCTGAGAGGGGAAAAATATAAGTGCCCTCCTCCACAGAGTCTGAATATCGAACCCGGTGCTGCTGGGCAGACAGCGCAAGGGCAGTTTCATGGCTCTGAAACAAAAGAGAGAAATTCATTTTCTGATGGCAATTATTTGAAGGTTAGCCACACTTCAGCTACAGAGGAATACACTATTTACTGTCCATCACTGGTTCATGCTGGACTTCCCCCCATTGTAAATAAAGTCTACAGCAGACTGTAATGTTAATAAGGGCGCAGGGGGAAAGGCCGTGGTCTGTATTTGCCGGGGTGAGGAGGCCAGGAGTCCAGCTGACAGCAGGGTCTCTGTTCAACCCCTGTGCCATGAACCCCAGGGGGGGGTCCCCAGTCACCCCAAACCGGCTTAGGGAAAATATTTGAAAAGAGGCTATATCGTCCGGAGGCGGCAGCGAGGTCCGCGGCGGGCGGGCAGGGTGGATATTTCTGGGCCGGAGGAGGCGCCCCGCTGCGGCACCGGTGTCCGGAACCTGAGGCGGTACCAGCCGGCCGGGCCCCGGTACCTGCAGGGAGGCGCTGGCGATG